CGAAGGACAGTGCGCACCTAGCTCTGACCGGCGTCTACCTGCGCCTACCACTCAAAATATTGAGTGGTGCTGATTGGAGAGGCTCAAAGGGCAGTCTGCTTAGAGCAGACAACACTGTAGATGAGTCCCAGTTTGGCGGCTCCCTTGTATGGGGTCTTGGCGTCTGGTAAGCAGTAAATAGTCTCCTAATAATAGGACAGTCGGCTAGTCTTGTTCTCGTACGTTCTGAGTGGTGGGGGACAAGACCGACCTGTAGCCAACGCTCGCTGCGTAGGACAAACCCACTTCGTCAAACAGGTGGACAAAGGAACCTGCTACCTGGCCAATAGAGGGATGGTATGGATCAATCTCCCTTCCGCTACACCAATCAGTGTATGCTTGCAGCCTAGAAATGTAGGCCGCACAGATGGAATCCCTGTTCGCCCTGGCCAGGACGTTGGCAGTCCGCTCAGATAAGGCTTTCGTATGTGCGGGTCTACTGAGAGCCTCTATGCGTGTAAGTGATACCTGCTGGGCTCGTTGGTAGTGCGTCGTCTGGTTGGAACGGCAGGTCCGGTAAGTCCGGAAGCACTGCTGGCGCTTCGACTAGCATTTCCAACAGAAGTGGAAACTAGGCCTTGCTTGGCCAATTGGGTGCAACCCATGATAATATGCGGGTGTGCACCTGTCGAAGTTTTCTCCGGTGCCCGGTGAACTAGCAGGAAGGGAGGAAAAGCGTACACAACCAAGTGGGCTAGCAAAGCGACCCTGGCCCAGGCTCCTGGAGTCAGCAGGAGTGTTACGTATGTCGGGAGCTTGGCGTTCCGGGGTGCGGAAAAAACGGTCAAACCTTGGCACCGTCCCACGGCCAAAACAGCCTGGAGGCTATCCACTGGGGTATCAGCCACTCCATGTTCTGGAGACGGAGCCACCCTGAAAAGGCTTCGCCAGACTGTTCCTCACCCCTGGAAGGTGGTGTGCGGTTAGCTCCACATTGTATTCCAGGCACCAAAGGAGGATTTTGCTTCGCTAGGACTGACAACAATGGGGAATGTGTCCCCCCTCCTTCTTGAAGGAGACCACCGCTGCCTTGCCTGTGCGGAGCAGGACTCTGTGGTCTCGAACTACGGGTAGAAAATGTGGTAGTGCTAAGTACACTGCTCTCAGTTCGAGCCGGTTGATATGGTAGTCTCGAAACTAATGCAGGGGCCATATCCTTGGGCTTGTTGGCCCAATAGATGCGCTCCCCAACCCTGGGGGAGATATCTGTTACCAGAGTCATACCTGCGGCGAGCGGGCCCAAGGGGCTCCCCTGTCCGCGGTTGGCCAGTGACGACCACTAGGGCAGAGCTTCCTTCACTTGGTCTGAGATCTAAACCCGCCTATCTAGTTCCCATAGGAGAGCTCGGCGTTATAAAAAGTGTTATACCGGGCGGCTGCATAGTGCGGCCTGGGGAACAACCCTTGGAACCGAGGTCATCATTTCGATGATCCGCATTAGTTCACGGAGGGACACTGAGGGATCGCTGACTAGGCATTCGGCTAGGCTGCTTAGCGCTAAGCAATACGCTTGAAATAGCTAAGCCAAGCTTACCTTTGTGTCAAAACTCCATGCCCAGGGACACCAACTGTGCGTTGGGTTGAGGTGGGACTTGTCAATTTACTAACGAGCCCAACTGGTCTGGGTACGGATTGAGGTGTACCGACATCTGGTGAAGCAGCAGCACTACCTGTTTCATCACTCTGGTGAACACGTAGGGCGCTGTGCCTAACCCAAACGGGGGGCACCCGAAATTCGAATACTTGGCCCAGCTGGGCGATTCGAAGGAGATGGCAACTCGCTGGGTGCATCGGTACGTGCAGTTAGGCCCTGCTTAAGTCTAGCGGGGCTAGCCAGTCAAAATGGTGGATGGAGAGAAGAACCCTGAATGGTGTCTTCATGTGGAACCAATCGAGGAGCACGTACTGATTCAGTCTGCCTAGGTCCAAAACTGGACGCCTACCACTTGTAGATTTGGTACTAC